AGCCACACTGCATCATTTTCGCTATGCAAACAGGTCGAAAAAACGTCATGTCTGAAGATATAAGTCGATTCGATTGCAAATTAACCAATGCGAAACTCTACTTGAATTCGGAATGTTATCCGTATGATGACTTGAATCTGGATTTTGATAAAAACAAATGTGCGATTCTGTATGACTTGTACGCGCGTTTCTGCAAGGGCTACTACGGATACGAGTATCTCGAGTCGAGTCTCACCTTTACGACTTTTTTACGTAATAGTCCGTTTGTGATCATCGATTGCTCTCGACAGAACGAATCGGTCAAGAGTGGCACCGTGGACGTGCGATTAGATTTTGAATGTAAGGAGAACGTGCTCGCAAATACAACAGCCTATTGTCTCATCATACACGATCGCGTGGTTCAGTATAATCCATTGAGCAACGTTGTGCAAAATCACGCACTTGCGACCTAAACGCACTTCCGACATGATATAAAATCTACGTTGCATTCGACCGCAATCAATCGCAATCTTCTCAACAACATGCTTGTGCCAACGTTCGTGGATCTGCAAGGATTCATCGTTAACAAAAAATTTGTGAAGGAAGTAGCGGTGTTGAAACAGGGGACTGTTCTCACACAATACATTTTTACGAGTCCCGTGTCATGGAAATTTTTGACAAGATCCGACAGGTCTTGTGCTTCCTGGTTGAGTGCTTATCACCATGGATTGCAGTGGGAGGACGGAATGGTCCCATACAACGAGGCGAAATGTCTGATCACGAGAGCTGTATTTAAACATGATGTTATCGTGTACGTTAAGGGACACGAGAAACGAACGTGCTTTTGGACGATGAGCGAGAACGCATATATCGAGACCTTGGATGCAGTTTACGAAGATATGGAATCTTTAATTAATTTGGATGTTGCTAATACTATGCGATGTGGACAACATGTTAAGAATTGCGCGTTACAAAATGTATTGAAAATATATAACTGATGGTTGCAAAAGAATTTTTTAAATAAAAAATACATTAACACGTATTTATTACATATTTCTTTTTTCCCTTCCTTTGTAATACTCATATGTATGAACGTATATGTATGAACGATGTATGTATGAATGTATATATGAACGTATGTATCCGAAAACATCGACGCTTCTGTTAAACGCGTCGCGACATGTTATGATATGCAATGTATATAGATAGTGTATAAGACTTTTTTTTTCATTCAATTGTAAGCTTCAGTTACGAGCGTTAGATCGAGTAAAAGAATATATACATCGAAAATCGATCGAGCGAAAGGGGTATCGTCCTTTGTCGTCAAATCCGCCAAGTCCACCGCCATCGAAGGAAAAAACATTAAAATCCAACGTGCTCATCATCATCATCATCATCATCATCATCATCATCATCATCATCATCATCATCATCATCATCATCATCATCATCATCATCATCATCATCATCATCATCATCATCATCATCATCATCATCATCATCATCATCATCATCATCATCATCATCATCATCATCATCATCATCATCATCATTGCCATCCAAATATAAATCATAAAAAGTATAAACATTGATAAACTCGTGACAAAAAAAAATACGTAGAAAAACGTGATAAAACGTGTCGCAACATGTTCACAATTCTTGGAAAGAGAGGAGGATTACTCCCTCTTCTATTCTAGAAGTTTTATCATATACATCGCAATTTACGCGGATGCAATCAGTCTTGCGATATCCGCTTGTATGAATGGTTGAAAAATTTACTTTGCTAAAAGTACAACGCATCATACGAAACGAAAAAGAACTGCAGAAACATATAAGTTTCAACGTTCTATATACAAAAGAAAACATTGTTTAACATTACGTATGTACACAGCATGGAGCATCGTGCGGTGCGTTTATTGAGCAGACGTTATGATCTGACGGCTACGAGCTATAAGTATTTGGAAATTAGAATCAACGTTGGTCCACCGAGTTATGTGGAGATCATCGCGGACACGAACTGTCGCTATCTTTCGAAATGGAAGGGCCTCTATGAGCAGCAATGAAATTTACAAGATGCTACGAAATGAATATAAAGATAATTTTATAAGTATTGGACCGCTAATCGTCAATGTTTGCACGCTGAATGATGCTATATTCGTACGTCTCGATTCTTCATCCGTACGCATTACGATGACGGAAACGACGCTACGACGTATGTTTGAATTTGACGGATCGTATCGACGTAACGATTAGCCCGACTCGTCGATACGCTTGATGCTAAGTATACGCGATTCTCCAACATCGTGTCTGAGAACGCTATACGTGATAGCGACATTTTCAATGGGCATCAGCTCGTCGATTGCGAACTATTGGCTTTAGCTTTTAATACGTATAAAAAAAGAAACGATGTAATAACAAATTGTGAATAAAAAATTGTTTCGCTCCCAGTACTATATATGTACTTTTTTTATTTCCCATCCATCCATTCACCCATCCATTCATCCTATACCTCGACATGCCATCGTATTCCGTTTTAGATAAATAACAGTCACACTTGTTTTTTTTTGTCGTATCACGAATCATACATATGTACACACTTACGCATGTATGTATGTATGTATGTATGTATGTATGTATGTATGTATGTACGTATGTACGTATGTATATATGTATGAACGTATGTTTCCACGTAAGAAAAAAAAAAGGAATTATAGGTGTGAAAATAATGCAGCGTGAACTTTCAGCAATTCGATGGCGCAAATAATCGCGGCTACTATATATTAAGCTATTCTTATAAAGAGTAGTGCTGCAACGATATAAGCGATACTTTTCTTGTGACGGTACTTATGATCTGAATTGTTTTATATACAACTAAAGATAATCCTAGACAGGCTCGCCGCGGCGAAGGTTGAGTCTCAGCGTCAGTCATTATCTTGCATTGTCGCGCTGTTATTATATTATTACGTTCTTGGAAAGTGTGACCCGGCTTCAAACAATTGAGTTTATGTTACACTTTTTCTACATATTGTTTTTTTGTTACTCACCGCATAAGCGACATTTTCGATTCTGGTCGTATCGACTCTGTATTAGAGTCGGAGCCATTCCCACAAAGAAGAAATTTGTCCTTTGTCCGTGCGTGAGTAATTTTTTTTTCTCAGTGTGCAAAAAAGTATTTTGCCGCTTAAAATTATATTAAGTGATTGGGGTGATAGTGAAACTTAGTGACAGTTATAGACATTAGTTTTAGTAGTTGGTTTTAAAAAAAAAAAATTTCACTCTCACGCAATAATGAGCAACCTCAGAGAACTTCTAAAGATCCACTACGAGTATCCCGTTGAGGGGGTAAGTAATTTTTTTTCTTTCTATTTGTATCTCTTTTAACGTTTCTTTTTTTCTTTGGCTGATTTATGCTTATAACGTTTTTTTATTTTTCTTTTTCCAGTATATTATGGTCGACAACCAAAGGGTTGTGCGACTACAGTTGCTGAATGAAGTGGGGGTCTTGATAATCCCATTGGTAAGTTCTGTTTAAATTTTAAAAATATAAATTATAGGATGTTTTCTAATTATCTTTTTTTTTTTTTTAATTTACTTTGTTATACTTTTTTCCAGAGGACACATCGTAGCCACAGAATCAGAGGCTTTACGAATATATATAACAGCCAAATGATACGTGCAGAGAGGTGGGACCGGGAGGAACGTGAGATTCTTGATGTCTGATTGGATGAAGATTTGTGCCTGGCCGAACTTTTCGGTCTCCGATCGTACGAACCCGACCCAAAGCCGAAAGATTGGAATTGTAAGTTTCATAAAATTTTATGTAGAAAATATGAATAAAAAAAGGAATACTTATATTTATGTTTATATTTTATATTTATATATTTATATTATTTTTCATCTGCAGAAAGCAGCGGCGGCAGCGGCTCAAAAAAACGCATTTTGGGATGGACGCGGGGTCTGCAGCGAGATGGCGGCAGCGGGGTGGCGGATGTGAGGTGACGATCCCCAGTGATACGTGATGCCACAACATGGCGACGTATCATTATAAACACCGATAGCGCCGGAGATTTCCTGCCTCCTCCTCCTTCCCCGCGCCTACCAGTACCCCGCGCTTAGGAATACCCCCCGCTCTCCGCGCTCCTCTCTAGCCCCAGAGTTAGAGGGGTAGTAGTATAGCTTTGCTATACTACTAACGTTCAATAACTCGGTGAAGAAAAATCGTACAGCACTCAATAAAAAAGCAAATTGAAGGTAAAAATTGACTTTTTTGACTGCGGTAAACCGTTTTGTGTGGATTTTACTTCACGCCATAGATCTTCATAAAGTTCGTAAAACTTTTTCGGATATAAGATTTGACGGGTATCCATTTGTGTCCATCTGTATCTTCCTAAAGAATCAGTCAGATTGAAATATCAATTACCGATTTTAAAAGTAGAGATTTTAAGCTTTTAAATGCTTTTTTGATTTTGTATCTGCGATAATGTTTCATCGAGTTATTTTGAATATTGTGCAATTTTGAACGTGTTCTAAAGTGTTCTCAATTTTTTGCTGAGTAGTATATATATATATATGTCAAAAGTAAATGTGTAAATTAAAAGTAAACTTATACTGGTTCTTTGATTTTAATATTTTATATGCAGAATAATTAAAAAAGTCAAGTTACGTAAAAAATTCATATTATTTAATTTCAAAAAAGGAGAGGTGACCTTCATGTGATCTTAAAAAATCAATTTCGAAAACTGATTTTATATACATATAATTCTATAGTTTGATCGCATCTGAACTATCGGAGATTATATCCGGATACGAAGAAAACGCTTTGTTTTCAGCTTATTGAAAATGAGGACAATATTTGGATATATTTTCATAAGATCACACTTTATGGCATTTCATATCTGTTTTTCAATATTTTACGTATCAATCAATTATCACCAGATTGGTTTCGCCATTTTTCATCAATCAAAAATAAGACAAGATTCTCACCAGAGAATCTTACTTCCACTAGAAACCAGTTTAAATACCTGGAAAGCGACGTAGAAATCCTGTCGTCGCTCCATAATATTGCCATGAAAGCGTAGGGTCACTCTCATAATTATTAACAAACAACAGATCCAAGTACTCGCTCCACTGAATACCCAAAGCAACGTCACGCTCTGCAAGAATAAAGAACCAATTTGTCACAGCACATAACTAAAGCTGAAATCACACGACTTCTTGAATAATAAGGCGTACATGCATGCTTGCTCTGACGCATGCAAAAATATGTTTATGTATTGAGCACGACTCATAGACGTGATCTTTTTGTTTATTATGCATCATGATGCAAGTAGACAATAATTTTTTTCACAATAGTTTTCAATAGTTTTTTGAAACTTGAGAACTATTGAGAAATATAACTATTCAGAACTATTCAAGGAACTATGTATGTCATGTAGTATGAGGGCAAGTCAATAAGTTCTTACAAAATTTGTCAAAGAGCACTCGCAGTGTCATGTCATATTACTACTTTTTGACAAGTAGCATCTCTCAACAAATTACTGTCAAATTTTGAACGGAATTCATCGCATGGTTTCATTTCTGTAGATGATTAAAGCAAACAATCTTTTTGCAAAATGGAAAAAAACGAGTTTCATGCAGTGATCAAACATCTACATATGAAAGATTTAACGCCGAAAGAAATCAAAGCCGAGTTGGAATGTTCATAGCATATCAGCACCAGTGTTTGCGACTGTATACAATTGGGTGAATGAATTTAAATCGTACATGTGATGACTTCGTTCGGGACGTTCAATTGAGGCTGCTCAGAAATAATCAATAAAGTCCACGACTTATTTTGACTGATCGACGAGTGAAAGTGCGCGGGCTTGTTGAGGCCACAGACATATCACATGGCATAGTGATTTCAATTTTGCACGAATAATTGGATATGAAAAAGCTATCGACAAGATGGGTGCCGCATTTGCTCATTATATAAGCCATAAGCGCGACCGTGTTACGATATCAAAATCAATGTTTGGAGATGTTTCAACGTAATCCAGATGAATTTCTGCGTTATTATTATGGACGAAACATAGAGCCATTACTTCACACTCAAGACAGGAATAGTCAAAACAATGGACTTCATCAGGTGAACCAGGCGAAGACCGTAAAGTCGGCCGGAAAGGTGATGGTCACAATTTTTTAGAATACACGCGATATAATTCATATTGATTACCTTCCGAAGCAAAACGATCAGTGGTGATTATTACGCAGCCTAATTGGACGTTTCAACAACATTTTAAAGAAAAAACATCTCCATTTGGCAATAGTATAACAAGACGGGTTCTAACCAATAGGAGGGGAGCGTGGGGCGCGAGAAGTACTCGTAGGTGTGGGGAAGGTGAAGGCGCGGGAAGACGCCAGCGCTATCGCTATTTATGTAAACATAGGACCCCGGAGTGTTTTACATAAACATAACATTCCACATGACATTTTTTTTCGACCGCTGCCGCCGCCGCCGCCGCCGCCGCCGCTACCGCCGCCGCCGCCATCTCGCGATCATTCCAAAATGTGTTGCCGTCTTCTCTTATCTCTTTTTTTTCTTCTCACACTCAAAATCATAGGCATACTAGTTCCAGCGCTATCGGTATTTACATAAACATAGGACCCCGGTCAATGGATCACATAAATATGATGACGTTTCGCAATGTCTTTCATATTTTTCACCGCCACCCTCCCAAAATGCATCGGTAACAAAGGCTTGCATACACTTATCATCTCTCTTCCTCTTATGTTTCGTTATTCTCGCTGCGTTGTCGCTCCCGTTGTATGTTCTTCTCGCACATAAATATACGCAAAATATGTCATACGGTTTTTATTTAATGATTTAAATAAAGAGAACGCTTAATACAGTTGTGATCGCAGTACCGTTGAGCGTGAAGATGTTGACGCGTAATAATGATAGTGCTAATAACGCTAACAAGAAAGGAATGAATAATGATACACTCAGATATATAATTTAAATATGCGTTTATTTTTATATATAACGTAATTTTACAATATATAATTCTTATTATATAATTCTTACAATATTTATAAGCAGAAACTTAATTTAATTTAATTTAATTTAATTAATTTCAAATCGAATTTTAAGCACCTGCTTCCGATTAGCAATAAAATATACATTTTTTTCACACTGTTTATAATATTATCTAAAACATAAACTATTATCTCACACTCTATATTTGATTTCTTATAAATTTTGCGCAAAAAATCTACAGCATCACATTTATCGATGATACAATTTTCACCTAAAAGTGTTACAAAATATTTAAATTTTTCGATTTTGACGATATGTGTATGTTGGCACAGCTCAGAGTATACGTTCTCAACGCAGAGTTCGGACATGAAGAGCACGGTTAACGGCTTCATATACAGACATGTTTCGCGCAGTATTTGATCACATTCACATCACGTAGTTTTATGATTTCTATCACTAGATCTTGGACCGATAATGATGAAGGTGATTGATTGCACGAACCACTCAATATCCGCGAGTCTTTCAATGAAAGCTACATTGCACGAGGCAAAATTATGTTGTTACCTTGATTGTCGCCAATTACAATTTCCACAAAAGACACAGGTTCCACAATGATTCCGACATTTGGGGGTAGGATATTTTTGTAAGTTGTAGGAGTCAGTGTAAATCTTCTTCTCAATATACGAGGTGTTCAACGGGGTTTATTGTAAGAAGATGCTTTGCACAAAA